ACCGAATAATTCAGCGGATTTGTGCCCATTCCAGGATCCTGAATGAGAATAGATTGCAGCCAGGTCTAAATGTTTTGGGGAAAATGAGCCCAGGTCTGGTGGTCATTAGCATTCTATGAATAAATCTGTTAAACCAATGGAGAGGGCCAATGGCAAAACCAAACATATACAATGCACACTCACGGCTGTGGGGGAAAGAGATTTGAGTATCGTGAAGCACAAACATCTGAAAGCTCATAACTCAAATCATGAGGCTAATACCAAATGTTGAGTTCAGATGTACTGCAGCATGAACAAATACAAAACAGATCTTGTACAAGTCCCTGACCAAGCTTTAACTAGGAAATAATGGCTACTTTCTTTGATTCTTTGAATGGGTGGCTGCTGTAGAAGTCTTGGAAACTAATTTTACTTCTTTTCCTTTGAATGTGTAGGCATCAAGGTAGTTTGATTCCTTTTCACAGGCAAGCCTGGAATGCACCAAATTGCTGTACTGCTCAAATCTATGATCTGTTTAACACCAAATCAGTCGAGTTACAAGTTTCTTTAGAAATTTCTTCTGAGTGTTGCATTACAAATCAGGAAATTGTAACTTTTGTTTAATTTTGCATCTGCATTCATGTAACTCACGTAACGTTCATGCAGTTCAAGTAATGTCAATTACCTTAAACGTCCCTTTATCAATGGTCCTCTTGCTTATGTTGTCAGCTCGTCCTATCTTAGCTTTGACCTTGAGATCAACAGATGTTTAATCATAATTAATACATTTGTTTTCTTTTGCCCTGTTTTGGTGCACCACCCATTTCTAGATTATATACCTTTTTTGAGGTATGAAGAAGAGTGTTCTGTCTGAAATACTCGTAACCGTCTGTGCCAACATTCTCTTCCGTAATGTCATTAATTAAGAGGACTGGCGTTCAAATGGCTGTCACGTTCCACATCACCCAGCATTCTACAATAACATGGTGTAAAGAGAGAAGTTTAAACAAGGAATCTTTTAAAGTAAGATACAGGCACCACTGGAATTGAACCCAGGGTCTCCTGTTTACTGGACGAGCACTTTAACCACCGAAGCCATGGCACTGCTAAGCAGCTACTTTCTAGAATTCTAATACTAGAATTGTTGTTCTGTATCACCATTGAATAAACGAAGTTATCTTCATCAATAACGCTTTATGCAAGATTTCTGTTCCCAGACGTAAAATTTTCATTCATTTTTTGGATATGGAGTGATTCAGAGCTTTTGTTATAAAGGATGAGCAGAAGATATGAATCCAATTGAAGCAAACTCTGTATCAAGTGAGAATGAAGGTGACTTTGAGATGGGGATGACTGACAGAACAGGTGATCTGACTTGCTGTTTGCCATGCACTGTTAGCCAAGTGGCTTTAAGTACAATCTTTTCTAAAATAAGAGACAAGATGCTGTCATGAAACTTTGCAATGTCAGCTGCAATGCTGTCAGCAGGCTTTCAGTTATCTCTTTGGGAAAAGAATCAACTTTGCGTTGGCAATGTGATGTGCCTGTGTAGGACTGAAGACATCTGCAGACTTTAAAAACGAGCAGGAGGCAACAGCATGTAGTGAGAGTGATTGTAAGAATTTGCTGGGGTCTATTAACGTTTTCGTTCTTTATGCCTTAATGAGTTTTCGTGACCGCACCAGCATTTGTTGCCCATCCCTAATTTCCCTGGAATTGACTTGGTCATTTTAGGGGGCAGTTAAGCATCAACCAGATTGCTGAGTCTGGAGCTACTTGTAGGTCAGGTCAGGTAAGCTTAGGCTTCGTTTCAGAAAGGACATTAATAAATCAGATGGGTTTTTACAATTATTGATGATAATCAAATGGTAAACATGAAAATAGCTTTAGAATTCCAGATTTATTAATTGAGTTTAAACTCTACTAGCTGCAATATTTGAATCCATCTCCTTGCCCATTAGCCTGTGTCTCTGGGTTATTAGTCCAGTGACATTACCGCAAAACTACCACCTCCCCTTACATAGTGGTTATGTTACTGGATTAGTAACCCAGAGGCAAGAGTTAAAAGCCCACTCTGACAGCTGGAGAATTTCAATTCAGCTCATTAAATTTCGGAGTAAAAGTGAATAACAATTACGACTATGAAACTACCACCTTCAATTTCACTTGATGCAGGGTTCATTTCAATTGGTTTCAAGTCATCTGCTTATCCTTTATTATAACAGTAGTTAACATAAAAACTCATCTGGATGACTCGTGTCCTTTTTAAGTTATTCTTGCCCAGCCTGGTCTGTACGTATGCCCTCTGAACTGGCTTAGCAAACCAGGAAGACGGCTCATCACCACCTTGTCAAGGGCAATTGGAAGTGGGCACTACATGCATTTACAGAATGATTTGAAGAAGAAATAGAAGGAACTGGAATTCAGTTATATTCTTGTAATTTCTTTTTGTTTTGAAGGTTGATCTACAACACAACGACTGAGACCACACAAACACCACCCGGAGTTGATGTGCGAATCCCTGGATTTGGTAAAACGTATCCTCTGGAATTCCTGGATCCCAGCAAAAGGACTGTTGGTCAGTTTTTTTAACAATATGAATGTGATATCTTGGGTGTAAATTTTTGTGAAGGAAACCAGTGGTGGTTTAAAGCTACTTATCTGGAGTTAACGGGTGAAGTACTTTGTTGGATTTGGACCGCGCTGGTGTTAAAAACACTGTTGTGCTAAGAGTCTTTTTTTTTTCTTGAGCTTCTAGTTTTCATGCTTGGCCATTGGGTCCGATGCCTTGGTAATGCTATTAGTCAGGAGGTCTAAAGAACATAGAGTACACTGCAGGTTGCTCTATCAGGTGTCACTGACAATAAAGATGGCCATTTTTTGTTTGGCAGCATATTATCCAAGCTACCCTGCATATTAAGGTCAAATTTTCATTTGCAGGAAGTGAACATTGCCTTGGGTAATTAAAGTAGTGTATTTTACATGAACAGAAATAGTCTGAGTGTCAGCAAATTCTTAACATTGTGCAAGACTTTTGTTTTGAGAATAACCTATGACTTTGAAAGTTTCCCATAGTTTTTTCAAGTTCTGTTTAACTGGTGTTGCTTTAAAAAGATATGTGTGACACCATTCTTCAGTGTTTGTTCAGTTGGCTACGGTGGTCCCTGAAATGATTCCACACAGTTCTAGTTTATTTTAGTTATTTTTGTGTGAAATGGAGAACTGGAAGCAAGATTCAGAGATGCAGTGATAATGAGTGGGAAAATCAAGTGTGAAGCTGAGAACCAAAGGGCAGGGGAATCCAAGGGATGAGTGTGTGGACTACAGCTTGCCTCATAAGTAAATACCTTTTACGTGGTGTCACAGAACCACTGAAAGCCTTTTTGAAATAAAGGCACTGTAATGTGAAATATTGCAAGACCTGGCTGCAACATTCCTAATCTTTTATCATCTGTTTGATGCCACAAAGTTTGCATTCAAGACAGACTGGATGAGGAGAAGACAAAGTCAAGCACTGTCTTCAGACTTAAGACTTCACAGTAACCCTATTATACATTCATCACAATATGCAAGAGTATTTCATATTATAAATATAGCAGTCTCTGACTTATAGTTATATTAGGAAGGGACTAATCTGTCTTTGTGTGTTCATGTCCATGTTGTAATGTGGTCTGGAGCACAGTTCCAGACTATTCCTTCTCATGCAGATATTTTTAATCAACCTGTTATCACACATCTCGAGAGCAGATAGGATTTGAGCCCAGGCCTTCTAGCCCAGAGATAGGGGCACTATGACTGCACCACAAGAGCCCCCTTTCTTGTATATCCAAACTTCCATCCACACTGTCCATGTAGGATCTGTTTGCTGACACCAACGTACCACAAGCAGGTATGCAATATTAAGAGGATTATTGAACAATAAAAGAAACTTGTGTTTCACTCTTTATGTATATCACCACTTTCAGTACCATGATACTGATTTGTTAAAGTTGTACATTTAGTTGGTATTTGTGACTTAAAAAACCAATTATTGCCAACGGAGGATGTTATTAAGCTGATTTTAAAATTTAAAAAGTTGTACTTTGTTTTACACTTTCTGTGACTGATATTCTGTTTCATTAAAATAGCATTATTAATCGGCATTTGTAATTATTTGTAACTACGTTTATAAGACCCATTGCTGCTAATGCACATGTTCTTTTCATGTCAGCAAATGCAGCCACCCAGTTATACGCAGTGATGTGATATGATAAAGTTGCTCCAGGTTCCTCACTTCCTTACACAACACACATTGGCCACAAACCCACTGAACTTTGGTGTTTACCTTAGAAATAGTCCGTGTGGATCTTTTGTGCCACTCGGAGAGCAAGTGCAGCCTTAGTTTAAAGTCTTATCTGAAACACAGCACTTCTGACAGTGTAGGACCCCCTTCGTACTGCACCAGAGTGGCAGTGAAGATTGTTTTAGTGTCCAGTCTGTGGTTTGGACCTATGATCTTCTGCCTGAGAGGTAATTGCTGAGCCGAGGCTGTCATCAAAAACAAAGTTGGCAGGAATAGAACCCAGTCGAGCAGAACAAAGATTTAAGCATCAGCAAATCAGGATAGAAAGCAGCTGACCCAAATAGGATAATGGTGACTGACCTGAAAAAAATGGCAAGGGAGGGACCGAGAGGAATCACACAAAGTGATCCACTGAGTTAGGAAGTCGGCACATATTGCAGGCACAAAGGCAGAAGCTTTGCTGTAATTGTAGAATGCCAGTGTAATTTACGACATTAATTGACCTAGTTAAAAACACAGATAGAAAAGGCATTGTTGTTTATCCACATCATGTGGTTACATTTAATTCAGATTCATTTTCTGTGTGTACTTCTATATGTTTTAAACATCTTTGTCTGAGCCAATGATAATTATATATCCTAAATTGAAAATAAACAGATTCTTGTGATTACGTAGGGTGTCTTTGCTATTATAGATTCTCTTTCCTTCAGCTGGCCTAGTCTCTGGAGACCTTCCCTAAACCTTGCCGGCTCTCTACCTTTTTGCCCCTCCTTCAAGATACTTCTTAAGATCCATCTCGCTGACCAAGCTTTTGGTCACCCGTTCTAATATACCCTTGTGTTGCGAGAGGTGTTCTGTAAAACTCTTCAAGTGCCTTGGGACATTTTTTCCCCCATGTTAACAGTGTTTTAGAAATTCATGATTTTATTTAAAAATGTATTTAATGACTGAACCAGAATGTAGGAATGTCCGTTTGCAAATCAGTCAAGTATTTTTCCAGAGCAGCCACTGCCCCATTAAATAAATTCCTTCTCTAAATGCCTGGTGTGTCACGGGTATGGAAGCAGTCATGAGATTGGGACAAACAATGGTTTTTGTGGCTGTATCCCAGAGCTCCATCAAGCCACAGATTAACATCAGGAAAGACAGCAGGCCCTGGGGGTAATTCCTGTCAAAATGCATTACAGTCTTTGCTTTCAGTTGAATGAGACAGAGCAAGAGAAGCTCAAGAGAAAATCCTTGAGTGTAGAATCTCTCTGTGCAGGAAAAGGCCAATCACCCCATTATGTTTATTCTGGCTCATTTGAAATAGCTATCCATTTAGTTTCTTAGAGTAAATTTACTCTAAGTTGAGAATTTCTTTCTTTTCTTTTAAAATGGTTGAATCTGCTTCAATTACCCTTTTTTAGGGAGTGTCTTCCAGATCAGCATCAAAGATCATTTCTCCTCAGTTTCCCTCCTGGCTTTTTCTGACAGTTATCTGAAATCGCTGCGCCTGGGTTGTCAGTTTCCTGCTATTGAAAATATTTTTTTTGCTATCTGTTCCGTCAAATCCATAGTTTTGAATACATGAATCTTTCAGTTGACTGAAAATTGTTCATTATTCATGCAATCGGAGAGACACCGATAACTTTAACCATACAGCTGATGGTCTCCACTTCTTTCAAGTAGTAATTTGATCTTCAGTTGGTTTTGTGTTTAGCAAATGTGTTCTAGCTTTTTTTGGTGGGTTAACCTTAAACTTTGTTCAATAGCGTTCATATTGCCCTCTAATGACCTGTCCACTATTTGACAGGAATGGAGAGAGGTGAGGCTGACCTCCCTACCCTTGCCCCAGTTGAAGACTTTTGAGTGGGCAATTTAAGGACCATTTCATGCCTGGTTAGAGTTCAGGGTCTGGCAAGATGGCTAGCATATGACTGCTTGGTGTGCAGGAGAGAAAGGGTGGCATCTCCACCACACCCCACCCCCAACACCACCAATGGCCTCCTCTTTACACACTGGGTAGTCCTGCCCCCTTGCCCTGGGGATGTTCCTTTTCTCCCCCTTGCCACCCTGTCCTGCAGTGAGACTTACCTGGTCCTTGGCACTTGGGGATACAGAACCTGAAGACTGCTTGCTCTGCCTCTCCTGGCGGTGCAGGTAATACAGAGGTGCTGGCCGGCAGCTCTCCGAGGCAGAGTGTCTTCCTGAGTGATGGCATCTCCAGCCAGTAAACACTGGTTGCCTTAGCGTTAGGCAGTCAGTGTCAGTGGGCATGACTTTGCTCCATTGAAGCTTTGGATGGCTCAATGGGAAACTCGACCATCTGACAAATCCTGCCCTACTGCTGTTAAAAATGTTCCTGAATGGGCAATGTTTAGCACATATCTAGAGATTAAGTGCCACAATATCATGTCCTTCATAAGTGTTATATTGAATTCAGTGCCAAATCAGTACAGTAATAGCGTAGCAAGGCTTGTGAAGGAGCTGGTCGTTGGACAGTCACTTCGTGAACTGTGTGAGCAACCAGTGTTTGCTGTCCAGTTTACTCTATAATAGTGAGCACTGATGGCTTCACTTTATTCTTGGATGAAAATGTGGACCATTATTTTATTTCATGGGTTTTTATCTCAAATAGCAAATAAACCAAATATGGTAAACATACTCAGCAGGTTTGGCAATGTCTGCGGAGGGAGGAACAGTTTAGTGTTAAAGTAGGCTGCCCTTGTTCCATTGTATTTGTACTTGATATGAGTTTAGAAAGTGAATTATTATTCTGGGATCCAGCAAAATTATTTGTAGTAAAGAATGCAAGACAAATCTTCACTTCCAATAATCAACACATAGGCAAGAAAAACCATCTTCAATAAACTTGACTAAAGTGGACTTTGCACAATGGACTAGTGATTGAGTGTCTGTGGAGCTTAACTTCAGGACCCAGCGTTTCTGCTAGGTTGTGCAGGTCAAATTGCCTTAAGTAATGCAAAAGGCTGAGGAATTTCTAGTGTATATGGTAACCTGCACAGTTAGTTTCCTGATCCTGAGTGCAGTGGGTGTAATTCACACCTGAAATTCCTCTCTTCCTTTGCACTGTTTTTAAAAGTAACATCGCTAGAAGTCAGCCCTGCCCATACATCTGGTCGGCTTTCTGTTGCCATCTTCTCCCCAGTGCTTCTCACACTGACTATCTGTGCTACTGTACCATGGTATGGGAGAGGCAATGGCTTTGTGGTATTATCGTTGGACTAGTGATCCAGAGACCCAGGTAATATTCTGGGGACCTGGTTTCAAATTCCACCATGGCACATTGAATTCAAATTCTAATATCTGAAAAAAATGGAATTAAGAGGCCTAATCGTGACCGTGAAACCATTGTCAATTGTCGTAAATGCCCATCTGAAGAAGACCCCTTTATCCCCACTCTCTGCTTTCTGCCAGTTAGCCAATCCTTTATCCATGCCGGGATCTTGCCCCTAACACCATGGGCTCTTATTTAGCAGCCTCCCTATAGCACCTTGTTAAAGGCCTTTTGGAAATCCAAATGAATCACATCCACGGGCTGTCCTTTGTCTAACTTTTTATCTCCTTAAAGAATTCCAACAGATTTGTCAGGCATGACCCCACCCCATCCCTTGATGAAGCCATGCTGACTCCAATCTGTTTTACTATGCACTTCCAGGCACTCCTCAATCTCATCCTTAATAATGGACTTCTTGTGGAAACAGAGTCTTCACATTGAGAATACCCTTCACTGTGGACATGGAGTGCATTTGGCTGGTACCCAGGGAATGTGCCCGGTGTTGCTGGTGCCCAGTGTCCAACATGGAGGCTCTTTGGAGCAAGTAGGGAGTTGCAGTTGCCAGTTACCCACTCTGACTTCCATGTGAAGAATTCTCAATCTAACTTTTTGGCACATTTAATTAGATAGGAATCTGAATATTAACAAGTCAAGTTGTGGTCTTAATAAGATGTTTCTCAAGCAATAATGACCCTTAAATTGGTAACTCACTGCTACCTTGCGAGAAACTCTCCTCACTGCTCAGCGGATGTATAAAACATGCAGGCAATTGCTCCCAATGTCAAGATAGACCTTGGCAGACTCCCCTTACGCTTTCTGACTCAAATCTCACCATCGTCCATGTCATTTACTCTCTTGGAACTGATAAATGATGTTGTACGGCTTTTTGAAATCACTTTTTCTTACAGATTTGAAAATTATTTGTGTGTTGACTGGACTCTCTAATTTAATTTTTTTTTAATGTGGTTGACATTTTTGGCTTAATTAATCAAACTGCACCAAATTACTGAATAATGTCAAGGAATTTTTCAGTATATTTATTTATATACAATTTCACACTGAGGGGCTGTCTGGTTATGTTGGTTGTTAGGAGATTAAGTCCAATGACATGGAAATTATTTTGAGCAGAAATGCACGTTTGAAAATTGACTGCAAAATGTGTTTCATTTTTCATGTGTTTCAAAGTGCCGTTTTAATGGACAGAGAAGTTACTGCAATGTGGGCTGTTCTGTTAAAGTTGCATACTAAGCAGCTCTATTCTTTCCGTTGCTGAGAGGGTAGAGATGCCACCGATCTCTGTTAATAGCAGAATTGAAGATAAAACAGCAGTGTGTACCTTCAGCAAGGTCTTCACGGTCAAGCTACCTTCAACTCAGTAGCTCCCGTGAAATAATCCTGGTCCATCCTCTTGTATCCCATGATTAACTTCACATCTTGTGAATGTATAAATTAGGAGCAGGAGTACACCCCTCGACCCTTAAAACCTGAATGCTATTCAAATCAGGGCTAATCTGATTACTTCACCTTCCCACCTACTCCCAATAACCTGTCACCACCTTGCTTGTCAATATCTACCTTTGCCTTAAAAATGCTCAGAGATTGTCAGCCGTTTGTGCCAAAATAAATTCCTCTTATCTCTCTGTTCTCTCTCGGAGTTTTTGTTGTTGATGAAGAGTCTAATTAAATGTACAGGAGTCACTTCAGGACTGAGATGAAACATTGCTGTTTTGCACCTAACCAAACAGTTCTGAATCACTTGTCTTGTTTTACAGGGTATTATTTCTACACTCTGGTGAAATCTATGGTGGAATGGGGTTACTTGAGAGATGAAGATGTCCGAGGTGCTCCCTATGATTGGCGTCGGGCACCCAGTAAGTGAAGCCAAAGTAAAGAAGTGTGCATCTCCGGCTGTGGGGTTTCAGAAAGCGAAGTGCATCCTTTCTGTGGTAAATTCCTGGCTAGTTGGGTGGAGCCAACCAGACCTGTGCTTCAGAACAAAATAGTTTATTGTGAATGATTTTCATTTTTTAAAAAGTAGAAAATCTTCAAAATAAATCAAACATTTAAATTGGAAATTCTTTTCCTTTATGTTTTTATAGTTCAAGGATAGCATTTTGTCCAAATGATGAAGGAGATCAGAATGTGGCGATGTTCTTTCTACAGGTGTTTTTAGACATAGAGCAGATTTTAGTCTCTTTATAAAAAGACGAGGAAGTTAATTCTGGACTTCACATGTGGTTTGCTGTATTTTAAAAGGGAAAATCAAGTGAAGTCCAGCACTGTTTCATTTCAGGGGGGCCTGTTTGACCCTTTTTCTGCTTTTCTCTCTTTCTCGTTCTCTCTCTTCCCCTTGCCTCCCCATCTCACGTTCTGTCTCTCTCACATTCTCTATCCCTCTCTATCTTCGCCCCCATGCCTCCATCTCGCTCGTTCTCGTGCTCTCTTTCTCTCTCTGTCTGCCTGTCCAGCCCTGGCAGTGTATCCACTAGTCTCCGTGTCAGAGAGAGATTCTTATATGCACCTCTCAATTTGAGAAAAACCAAGGGAACCTCTCCAGTCAGAAACATTGCTCTGCCTTTATTTTTATATCTGCAAAGATCTGTAACTGGTATAGTGGCAACTGAATATATTTCCAACAATAATTTCTCTTCACTTCCCCCAGCCACTGCAACTGAAATCCATTTTGCCATCTACAGTCTGCTTTTCTTTATTTTTTTTCTTTATTCGTTCAGGGGATGAGGACGTCGCTGGCTAGGCCAGCAGTTATTGCCCATCCCTAATTGCCCAGAGGGCAGTTATGAGTCAACCACATTGCTGTGGGTCTGGAGTCACATGTAGGCCAAACCAGGTAAAGATGGCAATTTTCTTCCCTAAAGGGCATTAGTGAACCAGGTGGGTTTTTCCAACAATCAGCAATGGATTCATGGTCATCATTAGACTGTTAATTCCAGATTTTTATTGAATTCAAATTCCACTCTCTGCCATAGTGGGATTTGAACCTGAGTCCCCAGAACATTACCTGGGTCTCTGGATTAACTGTCCAGTGATAAACCACTAGGCCCTTGCCTCCCCGTTTGCTCTTGCCTTCATTGACTCCCATCTTTCTCATTCCATAAATCACCAATATTCAAAACTCAGCCAATCACTACCTGTCTGCTACTGTGTGGAAATTCAAGTCCTTCTCTACAAGGGCTTGCGTACTTCACAACTTGCTCCCTGCCCCAAACCTGGTGTGCTTTCAGTAGTCTTTCAACATTGGTGTTTTCTACATTCCCTCCCACCTTCACTCCACCATTATTGAAAGGCCCTTTTTAAAATCTTTTTAAAATGTTCCTCTTTCTGACCAGGTTTTTGGTACCGTCCTATTTCTTGCAATAGCTCCATTGTTGCTTCTATCAATTTGTTCACTTCTGTCCCCACAGTAAGGTACCAATTGAGTGTATCTTATGTTAATGTTGCAATTTAAATGTTGTTATGCATTTGTCCTGATGTATTTTTAGATTGGTGGGGCTAACAATTTTTTTTATGTTGGCACATCATTACTATGCTAATATTAAATAAAACAACAGTTTTACTTTAAAGCAAGAATATTCCTGAGGTATTCATCAATTTTGTTGGGCTGTCTGAGAAAAATGTCAATTTGTTTCTTCTCAAACAGCACAGTACATTCTCTCCTATGTTTCAATCCCCAGATGAAAATGGCCCATTTTTTAAAGAGCTGCAGAAGATGATTGAATCTATGTACGAACAGTATGGTAGCCCTGTTGTCCTGATTGCGCACAGCATGGGAAACCTCTACACACTTTACTTCCTCAACCATCAGCCCCAGGAGTGGAAAGACAAGTATATTAAATGTTACGTTGCACTGGGGGCTCCTTGGGGAGGTGTGTCAAAGACTTTGCGAGTGTTGGCTACAGGTAGGTCATGAGATTCCTTAACCAGAAAAATGAAAGTTTCTTATGGCAATCTTCATTATTAGCATTGTGAATTAAGTGTGGGAGTGGTTGTCTTGATATCATTTGTGGTTGTACTAAAAAATTACATAACGGGATGTAAGTGGCAGAGGATAGTTGAGGCAAAGTTCATTGTATCCAGAAAGAAAAGGTAAGCATTTTATTCAGAAAAGGAAGGGCAGTGGGATGAGTTCTGAATTATTCTAACCAGTAGTCAAGACACCCACAGGTTCATTAGCTCTACTTTTATGTTTCAGAGGGATTTCAGTTTTTCTTTACCCACCCCACCAAGACATCATTATTTTCAGCACTTTTCTTTAGAGTGTTTGCAATGTTGAATAGGCTAGTCTTCTGGAGAAGTTGAGGCAAATGTCATTGATGGATAGAAGGAGAAAGAAGTGAAACATACAAGGGAGAAAGGAAATAAAGGACATGGGAGAAGGTTCTTAAACTCTGTCAGACAAGTTGGGTCAAATGGCCTGTTTTGGTGCTGTAAGTGCCCATGAGTGCTAATGCTAAGGTTTAAACTCTGCTTAACGCCACAGGAGACAATGATCGAATTCCTGTCATCAGACCACTGAAGATACGTGAACAGCAACGGACTGCCGTCTCCACAAACTGGCTGCTTCCTTACAACAACACCTGGTCAGTGGACAAAGTCTTTGTCACCACGCCAACATACAATTACACTATGAAGGACTACCAGAAATTCTACCAGGACATAAACTTTAAAGATGGCTGGCTCATGCGGCAAAACACTGAATCGCTGGTATACAACTTGACTGCCCCAGGGGTAACAATACACTGCTTGTATGGAACTGGAATACAAACACCTGAGTCCTTTCATTACGATGTTTTCCCTGACCAGGAGCCCAAAGTCCACTATGGTAACGGGGATGGGACGGTCAACCTTGTGAGTGCTCTTCAGTGCCAAAACTGGGCAGGGAAGCAGAAAGGCAAAGTCTATATGAAGGAACTGCGTTCAAACGAACATATCGATATGCTGTCCAACCTCACCACAATTTCCTACATCAAAAAAGTGCTATTTAATCTGCCTCTGTTTTGAATTCTGAATGCGAGAAAGCTGTCTTTTATTTATAGTCCCGCCATGTTTTCCTGGTGAACTGAGGCAGAGCATCATACCATGAATTCTGTGTAATGTATCTATTTCGAACAAAGTTTGATATCTGGCTTTATTGGAGCGTAAGTTGCATTAAAAAAAAACAACTAATTTTCCTCCTCTAAGGGGCTACAGACTTAATGAAACCCTCACTCTCATGTCACTCCAGAACAGTGCATTATATAATCCAGACAGTTGCAAAGTAACATGTTTTCCACATTTCAGAGGTTAATGGTGTTCAGTTTGTGTCCTTTTTCCAGTTTTGACATAGCGTTAGCTAGGAAGGTAAGAGTTGAAAGGGGGCCCTTGATCCTGTTGCACCATGTATGTTGGACTGTGGCTGATTTGTATTTTAACTGAAGTAGGGTAGTCAACGTGAAGTAACAAGGGGGCTCTTGTGGCAGAATGCAAATATCTTCACCTGTGGCCCAGAAAGTCATTGTCTAAGTTCCAGGAAGGTCTGGCAGCATCCATGTAGAGAAAATCAGAGTTAACGTTTCAAGTCCGGTAACCCTTCCAGACCCGAAACGTTAACTCTGTTTTTGCCTTCGCAGATGCTGCCAGACCTGCTGAGCTTTTCCAGCAACTTTGTTTTTGTTCCTGATTTACAGCATCCACAGTTCTTTTGGTTTTTACTGTCTAAGTCCCACCTGTCATGAAGATATATCATACCTTAGATGAACAGGTTATTAACAAGATTTTTCAAGTGTAAAGTAACAAGTCCAAATTGACTGCTTTGAACCAAAAGTTGTTTACCATGATAGTGGTATTGTGGCAGTATAGTTTGAGAAGTGAAACAGGAGCAGAGCCTATTTATTCTTTTCAAAAATTTAGGGATTACATCTGACCATGCCCATCACTTCCGGGCCGATGGATTTAGCTGCAGCCCTAATAGCTGTCTGCTTCTACTGAACCCTTTAACTAAACTGGATTATATTGGTGTGCTTTTCTGAAGCTAAGGTGCATTAACAAGGGAAGTGTAGGGACCTGTCCTGATGAGGGTTATCATTGAAATGACGATGGAGAATGTGCTGCTCTAAGTACAGAAGCATAGATAAGAATGACATTCAAGCCACTACTCCCTTTAGTATGCTCAACCCTCTCTTTTTAACATCCAAACCATGTTTTAAATATCCCTACCTCCATTAGCTTATTGAACACATTATGTTATTGACCAGCCTGGTACCGACTGTCTTCCTGATTTTGAATTTGCTTTTCGCTACTTTGAATGCTCCTCTTCCGGTCCTGTTTTGAGTTGACACTTCAGATGGAGGGGAATCTGATGTATTTTCCCAAAGGTGAAGTCTCTTGTTTTCTGTGGACAGACTAATGACTCTGATAATTATTTGACCTTTTTTGAGGCTCTGTGCTTAGAATTGTTTAACTTTATGAATTCTAGCCAAGAATATTAGAGAGTATAGTTGTGCAGTATTTTGTTCCTATATTTTGATAATTTAATTCTGTCTGTTTCTGTGCCTTGTCTCACTTGTGGATTATGTTAAAGGTGTTGACGCTGTAACTTTAATTTCCTCTTCACCTCTCCACCTCTCCACCTCTCCACAAAAGCTATTTCTCTCCTCCGCCCTAATTCTGAAATCCCCACCTTTATCCAGTTTCTCTCCTAAACCACTTTGGAAAGGGTACAAAGTTATCGTAGGAAGGAGGCACCCTTCTTCATGCTTTCCTGTCCCATTGCCATAAAAGTGCTGATAACCTGGTTTCCCTTTCTGGTTCAGGTATTTGTTGAAAGTTGTATATGATGTAACACAATTTTCTTATGACAACACTCTAAAGCTCCTTGGGTACATTCTTAGGATGACAGGGATGGGACTTTCGGAGGAAGGGGTCACATTTAACAATCTAGCAGCAGAAGAATGGTATATAGGTCAATCAAGTTATTTTTGTAAATCTATCTGTAAACAGCACATAAAATAAGACAAACATTATATTCAAGGGATGGTGGGACAGTGTGAAAGGAATCAGTTGTTCTGTTTGTATTGGGCCAGGATGGGTAGTTTGCATTAGCCAAAGCTTTCTCTCCCTTACACTCTCCTAGACAAATAGAGGTGATCCACTAAAAAAGGATTTGAGAGTTACCGCCCATTGTCAAACAGATGGACATCAGGTCCTAGGTTTCAATTTTGATAGTTTCTTTGCTCCTAAACGACAATTCTTTTTTTGAAAAAAACAGGAGCGATGTGCCTGAATCGTAAAAGCTGAAGGCAAGATGGGGTCAGCAGGATATAGTTACTTTTATAATAAAATAAGCCTTTAGTATCCCGTTTACATTTTCAAAGATTTCTGGATATTTCAAAGCCTAGAATGGTTTTGACTCTGAAAGTTTGTTATAAATGTTGGGTGTTGACAATTTCCTCAGTCTAATGATAATATCCACGTGGCATATTTTAATATATAGTACTATTGCAAATATGGCATATTCCAAGTATTTGGTCAGTGAATTTGCCAGTGATTATTTATGGACATGAATATTTTCTTAATGTTATATTTTTGATACATGGCACATTTCTCATGGTGCCAAGTCTGGGTGCAGCCATTAAGCAAGCTGCTAAAGACACTTAAAAAAAAAAAAAACCTCTTTCCACAATTGCTGGTCCCTTGTGCTTGTGATGAAATTCCTGAAGTCTTCAAGATTGCACCACTATAATCCTGATAATCAAAGGAAAAATTCACCTGAAACCCTCAGCACCATATTTATCAAGGGTAGGGTTTCTATGGCTGTACAGCCCCGGCAGCACTCGAATCGTCCCCCTAGCTATTCCCAGTGGAAGCTACTTGGGAAATGCCTGAGGCACATCAATGAATATAACCTTTTGAGTGCCTCGTGAATAGGCAGTGACTTGTGGGCAGATTGCCAGCTTGCCCCTGCTCCATTTCACCCCCACCTCAACAAATGCTGTGTAGTTTGAGAAGGTGGGGTGGAAAAATCAAATATTTATTACTTTAAGATAGAAGAGTCCGTGGTTAGCTTGATGTCTGTCTGAGGGGTTGGTAACTATAGTGTATTAATGGTGTTGCTCACACCTCTAGCTTGTAATTCCTAATGTATCACTGATAAATGCCAATATTGCTTCACTAAAACCAGTGTCTGTTTCTACTAGAGTGTTATATTTTTCACTGGATAATAAACTTGATTTTAACACCCTGAAAACTATGTATGTGTGTCTGGGTTCCATATTTTTGACACTCTCCACCACTACATTGGGATGTTACTGTCTGTAGATGAGTGGCAGCAAGACAATGACCCTGCTTCCTGAGCCTGAAGGTGCCCACATGTACAATACCAAGTTGAGACTGGCAATGATAATCATGGCCTAATACAGGAAGTTCTGCTACAGCCATCTACTGCAGAATTTTTTTATTCATGCTTTTATGATCAGCAGTCTTAACTACTTGAATGCTCCTGCACCCTCCAAAAGCTTATTCATTTCAAGCTTTGCTGCTTGGAATCTGCTTCTCTGTGCTTCCGGACCTACATAGGCATTCTGGTTCAAAACCAACTCTCTATTAAATGCACATTCTAGTGTTAAAATCCATCTGTGGCCTTGTCCCAATCTCTCTCAACTCCTTCAACCCGAAAAATCTTCCAGCTCCCGTCTCCCATACATTGACTACTTTCCAAACCACCACTGGTCGTTATGCCTACAACTGTTGAGATTTTAATCTTGGGTATTTATTTTCGAAGTTTTTTTCAATTCTCTCTGTTCCTTGACAAATCCTCTTAGAATGTAACTCTCTGGCCTTGTTATAGTCATCCTTCTCAATATTCAAAAATCACTTTTGATTCAGTATTAAATTTATTGTCTGATTACAGAACTGTTGCATTTTTGGATATTTACGTATATAGAATCTTTAACAGGAAATGTTATAACAGCACAATGGATAGGTAGAAACATAACATAAATCAAATCATTCATAAATAACATCACAAAGTTAGTGGTTTTTCATTATTCCTATATATTGTATACAGTTTATTTTCTTACTAATTTCTTGGAAATTTCACTTCTGCTTTTCTGTTCCTCTTCATCAAATCATAGAAGCCGCCATCAAATTGCACAATGTCCAACACCATTTGTGACACCTCGGATACTGAAGGAGTCCATGTTCAAAACAAGAAGATTTGGACAATATCCAGGCTTGGGCTGATGAGTGTCAAGTAACATTCACATCACACAAATGCCAAGCAATGACCATCTCCAGTAAGAGACAGTCTAACCACCACCCATTGACATTCAACGTTGTTACCATCGCTGAATCCCCCACTATCAACATCCTTTGGGGTACCATTGATCAGAAACTCAACTGGACTCACCACATAAACACAGTGGCTGGGAATACCATGGCCAGTAACTCACCACCTGAATCCTCAAAGCCTGTCCACCATCTACAAGGCCCTGGTCAGGAATGTGATGGAATATTCCCACATGCCTGGATGAGTGCAGCTTCAACAACACTCAAGGACAAGGTAGCCCGCTTGCTTAGCAACACATGCGCAAACATCCACCCCCTCCGGCACTGACGCTCAGTAGCAGCAGTGTTTACCATCCACAAGGTACACTGCAGAAACTGAAAGATCCTTGGACAGCACCTTCCAAACCCATAACCATTTCTATCTTGAAGGACAAGGGCAGCAGGTACATGGGAACACCGTCACCTGCAAGGTCCTCTCCAAGCCAGTCACCATCCCAACTTGGAAATATATTACCATTTCTCTGCTGTCGCTGGGTCAAAATTCTGGCATTCCCTTCCTATCAGGATCACAGGTCAAACTGCAGCAGCTCACCACCACCTTCTCAATGGCAACTAGGGAAGGGCAATAAATGCTGGTCAGCTGACGATATCCATGTCCCTCAAGTGAATAAGAAAAACTATAATGTAATAGTTCATCAAAATATTCCACTAATATTAACAGCCTAGATAAACTTGCTTTATGTACATCACTATGTAATATTGCTGTACATGTAATTACCTGTATTTGCTATGCTCATTTTTGAAAAAGACACAATGCTGCCTTGCTATCAATTTGAGCATTCACTCTCACTTCCCCATAATGTCCATAAAGTTTAAATATTCTTGATAGCTTCTTAAATGTTCCTTGCAAGTCTTTTTGTTTGTTCTGTTCAGATGGTGCACATCCCTCCCCACCAGCACTTTTTTGTCCTAACTGACTGTAGACTTGCCAAAACTAAAACAAAATCCTTCCTTCCCATCTGTTTTAGAGAGAGACATTAAGAATCCTTTATGCTCTTTGAATTAAGCTCTTATACACCCTGAAAAAGTTCCTAGAAACTTAAGGCATTATAAATTGACAACACAACGATAATAAATAACTGCAAATTTTGAGATCTTTACTTTTTTGACCAACTTTAAACTCTGAATCAAAGCATTTTGAGTCGATCCCTGCAATACTTAAATTTAATGGCCTCTCTCTCCTTCAGGATGTTGTGTTACATTGCTATTTTATTTGAAATCTTATCATTCTGGGTACAGTAGATTGGTGTTCCTGGCCCACATGTTCTAACGGTCAGGTAAACATTGGAGCAGTGGACATTGGAATTGCAGAATCCTAGACACAGCAGACCCTGTAGAAATTGTCCAGGAATTTGAAGATTCTGATGGCCAAACCCCTGCACCTGGAATCCTTCAAATACCCCCTTAATAGAAGAGGATTCAGCCTCTATTTAGTTAACCATCACCTAGAAACATTTAGACAATTCTTACTCCTGGTAAATTAAGTTGCCACCACCTTCCAACCAGACCCCCTCAATCCAACAAGTATTCCCATGGGACCCAACACCACCCTGTGCTAACCTAAAGCCCCAGCACCCAACCTACTGGTCAACTGGCCATCCACCTCTATCCTCCCAACTACTGGCCCCAACACCCCCCACCCTGCTGGTTCAACCACACTCTCAAAGCAACCCTGACATTCCGCCCCGCCCCTCCCCTCCTGTACCATCTCCTCCTGCCCGCCTGCCCTATGTGGCAGTGCAAGATTGAATTCAGTTTTGGAATCTGGAATACAAGCTAAAATCAGCTATTGGTTTGTGGCTGAGAAAGGCATTCAGCTATTTCAAACTGGTACAATAAAGTCCTCCTTACTCATTGACAGCTAAGAACAGGTTCTAAAATAGGGAGAGCTGTCCCTCACTACTGAAGAAGCAGTCTGAAGTAGTTATACTCACAAGCAACTTCCAGCCAACTTCTCCATCTCTATGCCTGTGTATGCCCAGTCCCCGTGCCCATCCCCCACTACCACCATGCACCAAGCAGCACAATCACCCTATATCTGCATTGCTTGTGCACTTTTAATGAGAGATCAACCTCTGTCTCTTTCTTGATCCATCATGTTTAATGTAAACCGCTACATGTTTTTGACAAGCCCATAACTTCCTAGTTCCAAGTAGATGACACGGCCTTTATCCATGCTAAATATCAGGCAGATGTGGGCAATCCATCAAAATACAGCAACAACCTATTGCACTGATTTGAATCTACACATTTAAGAACACTCCACTTCCTTTTCAACTTTAGAAACTTTTGTCTATACAAAGCAAATTTTGAAATTTTGAAACGAGAAAAACAGTTTTAGGGTCACAGAGTTATATAGCACCGAAACAGACTCTTCAGTTTTCTATTTCAGATCCTCTCTTTCCCATGGAACTTCAAAGGCATATCTAATGCAATCATTACATTGGAGTTGTTGTCCTATTGCAGTAAATTTCAGAGTTTCTAGAAATAAGGTGGTGAGGCCATCTATCTTGGTTTCATATAGTAGGACTCCAGCAACTCCGTTAAACAAAATCTTTCATTTCCACAAGCTACCATCTGAATTGCTTGTGCTTTTACACACAATCATAAAAATAAATCTGCTGCAAACCAGGCCAGACAATACATGTCCCACTTGGCTGATTGTGAAAGTTAATCAGGAAGTGAGACACATTTCTTGGAAAGACAATTCCTTCAGCCAATTTAAAAATAAGTGCTTGCATTTTAATAAAGATAAAATGCAAGCAATTGAAAGCAGTGACGGGAGCAATACGCCAGAATTTGGAATGTGAGCAGTGAGATAAATTGTATCTCACCATTCATCTGTAAAACTGTTTGTGCCTTGAATTGGTAATAACATGGCAAAGTCAATAAGTTGCTTAGTGTCAGCAGTATGTCTCCAAAAAAAAATGGACACAGAAACAGTGTGAACAATAAAAAAAAGGTCAGATTACTGAAAGATCAGGTAGAGACAAAAGAAAATTAGAGGGTGAAGAAAAATTTGAGAAGAAAAAGATGAAAGAATATTTTTTATATAAATTACCATAAGTAAAAGTGAGATCAAGAAAGTAAATAGAGTTACATTTTGAGTCTTCTGATACCTTGTCAGAACAGAACAGTTTTGAAGAAGGGTCACTGGACTCGAAATGTTACCAGTTTTCTCTCCACGGATGCTGCCAGACCTGCTGAGTTCCTCTAGCATTTTCTGTTTTTGTGCATTTCAGATCGCTAGCATCTGCAGATCTTTATTTAATTATAGACTCCAATGATTTCCTGGGTGTTGCAACGTTGATAGAATTGCAAAGTCTATAATCTCTTCAGTAAATGGGCCCTTAGGTTGCAAATACTAGTCCTAACCTTCTGTGTCCTCTTCCATTAATATTTAGAAAGAAAACCTGATAATTTCTTGAAGCTTACAGGGAGACTGATGTTGAAATCAATGAGGCTAGTGACGGAATGGCACAAAGCATATAGTGATTTGTATCAATTCTGAACTCTCAGCCCATCTTCCTCGTCATAAATTGCTTTAAAAAAAATAAACTAACAACGCATGTATACTAAACTTGCTGTTTTTTTGCCAGTAAATTCAGCACTTGTGTTATGCAGTGATCAAATCCAAATATCAAGAAAACTATCAAAATAGCTTACAGTTCTTCAATTAATATCTACAAACAAATATACGCAAAAGTATGACTGCAATTCTCCAACCTTAACTATAAATTATTTTGGATTGAAGCCTGTTCAATATTATCATGATTGTCACATTCACAGTTTTCACGTATGTAACTACAGCTCTGACAGAAAAACATTTTTAGATGCATACTTGGTTTATTTTTGGCATTTTCACAGTTATACACAAGATATTAATTTCAAGCCAAAATT